ATTAAATTCGTTCAAATTTATTGCTATTAAAATTCTCCATTTATTTTAGTCTTAAATCCCGATTTGGTTTGCTTTGGTTTGGTTTATTTTGCTTTAAGGCATATCAACCTCAATAGGCTATTTGATGCTGACAAGATTTTTAAGATAGGTTTATATGAACAGAATATGCATTCTTTGTAAGAAATCATTTTGTAAATCAGGTTTCCTTGGAATATTTTCGTAAAGAGAATTTTTGTCGAGAGTCAAATGTATTGCTGGTAATATTTTCCCGATTTATATTTTTTGTGGGGAGTGCATCTTTTTCTACAATTATCAAACGTTTGTTTATTTACGTACTACACTTTCGTAATAGGCATTGATTTCTAGTGTTTTTTTACCTAAAATTACCTACGAGTATCTCTCCAAAATAACGTCTAAAGTGATATATATATATATATATATATATATATATATATATATACATACACACACACACACACACACACACACAGAGGGTGCGATGGGTAAATTGTCGCCATAATATATTTTTAATTTCGCACATGCGCGTTGATTGTTTTTGCTTTTGTCGACTGAACAGTATAGTAGGGTCGGTTGGGCACCGTGTGTGAGAAAAAGAGCACGATGACGCTATTCAATCCGCCATGAATTTGGAAATGTTATGCCGTACTGCTTGTCATTCGCGCCGGAAGCTCCAATACGAACATTTCAGTGTGTTTGGGTGTCAATCTCAGGACAGTGCAGAGGATTCGGAAAGAGTTGGATGAGTCTAATGGTGATTACGAAGGCGTTTGAAGTGATGGTGACGTTATGCCTCCAGTCATCTTCCCACACTGAGGGCTACATCAATTGCCTTGAGGAGGTACTGCTGCCCTGTGTTAAGAGGATGGCTGCTGGAAGACCCTGTGTCTTGCAACAGGACACTGCACCATGCCATACAAGCAGGAGAACCCAGTCATTGCTGTTAGACAATTTCTGCAACCACATCACCCCTTACATCTGGCCACGTATCTCAACAGACTGTCCCCTCCCTTGATTATTGTGCGTGGGGCACAGTTGTGCAAGAGACCAAGAAAACTCCTTGTAACACCAAATATGAACTGAAGGCAAGGAATATGGCGGCATTCAGCAATTAAAACTAGGAAAACATCAAGAAGAGTTGCAAGAAGCTTTGGTTGAATGCAACGGTGATTTTATTGAATAAAATATATATACACACACACACACACACACACACACACACAGAGGGTGCGATGGGTAAATTGTCGCCATATTATATTTTTACTTTCGCACATGCGCGTTGACTGTTTTTGATTTTGTATAGTAGAGTCGATTGGGCACCGTCTATGAGAAAAAGCACGATGACGCTATTCAATCCGCCATAAATTTGGAAATGTTATGCCGTACTGCTTGGCATTCGCGCCGGAAGCTCCAATACGAACATTCCAGAGTGTTTGGGTGTCAATCTCAGGACAGTGCAGAGGATTCGGAAAGAGTTGGATGAGTCTAATGGTGATTACGAAGGTACGACAGCTCGGAAAACTGACTCTGATCGTTCTGATAAGAAAAGAACTTTCCAATTTGTTGGTGAATGTTTGAGACTCAACACGAAGGCCGACATCAAGTGCCTTGCTGCCCTGTGTCAAGAGGGTGACTGCTGGAAGAACCTGGGAGTCTCTACAACAGGACTACGCACCACGCCACACAAGCAAGAGAACCCATTCATGGCTGTCAGACAATTTCTGTGACCACATCACTCCTTACATCTGGCCACATGACTCTTGAAACTTGCAATCCCCTTGATTTTATGGGTGGGGCTCAGTGGAACGAGAGACCAACAAAACATTAATGCAAAAACAAACGCAGCAGACCCGCTAGATGATTTTGTTTTTCACGCCAATAACCTCTACATTACCCGCCGATCTATCGAAACAGAAAAAACAAGAAATGCAAGAAAAAATATTAATAAGAGTGGAAAGAAGAAAAAATCTCAAGCAAAATTACACAAGCAAAACTATCAGAAGTATTAAAAAAATCACATATCGTTATTACCTGTTTATAAATTTGAACTCGGCTCATATATTCCATTTTTGGGATCAGTAAGCCAGTAGCCGCATTTTCCTTACTTGTCTTACCTAAAACACGCCTTGTGTGTTGTATCTCGTGTTTTCGAGATAACATAGGAAAATAAATAAGTAAAATAAACTAGTAGGTAAGTAATGAATTAGAAGGTTTACTACACTTAGCAATTAACCTAATGCTAACTCGGTATTTAACTGAGCTCTCCACAGATCGGGATGTGGCACAAGGCCGGTTTAACGTGGATTTTTCCGAGCCCGTAGGACCGGGGCAAAATTCCACGTAGACCGCGTAATAACGGGGTCGGGTTTGTCTACCTCCCCAAACGAGAGAGCCCTTCTTCATAGCCTCGTCTGGGTTCCTCTCTGCCTGGAGGCAGAGAGTTCGACAAGGTCTATGAGCTTAACGCGCCGCTAAGACCTAATGCTAACTCGGTATTTACACGAGCTCCCCAGCGAGCCGGATGTGGCACAAGATCGGTTTAACGTGGGTTTTCCCGAGTCCGTAGGCCCGGGTAAAAATTCCCCGTAGACCCTGTAATAACTGGGTCTGGTTTGTCTACCTCCCCAGGCGAGCCTCTGCCCTTCGGCGTAACCTCCTCTGAGTTCCTTTCTGACCGAAGGCGGAGAGTTCGACAAGCACTAAGAGTTTAGCGCGTGGCTAAGACCTAATGCTCAATTCCGTTTAACTCATATACGGACGATTCCATTCATTTATGTCAGGTATGATAAGTGTCAAATTTTCCCAGGTTTATTTCTTTATTATTCCCTATAGTATTCAGCTGTGTCTGTTTCTGATTCAAAAAGAGCAATGTCTTTGTAGTCATTATTCTCTTTAAAATGTGATATCAACAATATAACCTTGTCTCGCGATTTGCCCATCTGCCATCCCTTATCCCAGCGCAACCAAAATAGTCTTTGTGTCGTCACTTGGCAAAGTAGCTGCAAGGTGACCTGACTTTAAGGGGATTTCATCCAGTGCTCGTTTTGATTTCAGGAACATGTTCTTCAAAGCCGTGGTAATTTCTTTGTCTCTACTGAAAACAAATTTCACAGCACGAACCAACAAACTCTGTTGGTAAATAACAACAGATTTAATTAAAAAAAAAAAAAAGAACTCAACAAACCAGGGTAAGAGAGATACGAGAAGGCTACAAAGAAGAGGGCGTTGTCGAGAGTCATGATCACCTATGTCCTTGAGGAATGCGGTACATAGAAGAAGAAGCGTTTATTAGATCTTCAAATCAAGACACTTCTAAGAATCGAAAAATATTTGTTTTTATCATTTTAGAAGAACTCTAGATGTAGACGTAAATTTAATGTTAACTTTTTTTCTTCTCGCACTTCTCGCTTGTGGAACTCTCTTCCGGCTCCTTGCTTTCCGGCCAACTTTAATCCGCAAAAATTTAAATCGCTATCTAGTATCCTCCTGATTACTCTTTTCACTTTCTGCTCATTATTATTGTTTCTGTTCCTAATTCTTTCATATCCTGTAACCCCTTGTGTCTTAGAGGCTTTACTGCCTTGCATGGGGTGATTCTGGTTAAAAAATAAAAAGTAACCACTTGGTTATTTTTCATAATTTCCATTTTTCTGATTTTGTTTCTTATTATGCTTTCATTCTTTCATAAAAGAATAAAAGAATGAAAGAATTAATGAATGAAGAATAAAACAATTCTTTTAATCTTTCATTCCTTCATTCTTTTAATCTTTCATTCCTTCATTCTTTTAATCTTTCATTCCTTCATTCTTTTAATCTTTCATTCCTTCATTCTTTTATTCTTTCATTCGGGTGAAATTCATTCCTTTTTCTTTCTTCTTTCTTTCTAAAATTCTAACATTTATTTACTAACATTCTCTTTTTTCATTCATTTTGTATACTTTTTCTTTCTTTCCCTAGCTGTCTCTTCCACTGCTAGAAATGGTGCCTTAATTTTAATCACTCCAAAACAAAACTGATATATTTTGTCAGAGAGAAGCATTCTGCATTCCATCCTCATGGCTGATGCTAACCTCTTGATGAGCGACTCATTGCGCAGTCGCAGTCTCCAGCTACAGTTAACGATTATATTGAATCAACTGCTAGATCTTTTGCTAGGAAACCACTTCGTGTGTGACCATTTTTTCTTGCCAGAATCTATCTTACATATTTATAAGTCTACCATTCGTCCATGCTTTGAATATTACTCTCACATCTGGTCTACTGCTTCTGCTATGTATTTTGAGATTCTTGATTAGATACAAGTAATAATTTGCAATATTGTCGGTCCTGACCTGGCATCTCGGCTTCAGTCTCATTCCCACCGGAACTCTAAATTAGCAAATGTGTTGATGAACTTCCCTCTGTGATACCTAGACTTTAAAAATTTAAGCGCAGTACTAGATTGGCGACAAGGTCTCATCCTTTTACCGTTGGTATGTCTACATGTAACCGTAAGTTCTATGCTAACAGTTTCTTCTCTTTCATTTCTCGCTTGTGGAACTCTCTTCCAGCTTCTTGCTTACCAATCAAGTTTGATCTTTAAAAATTTAAATGCAATTTCAGTCATTATCTTCTGTTTTCTTAATTTCTGTTCTTTTATTGTCCTCTCTCCTTAATAATGTTTTCTTTTTCTCATATTCTTTCACACCCCCCCCTTGCGTTTTAGTGACTTTATAGCCTTGCACAGGGTGAACTGATTTAAAAATATGTATTTCTTTCGAGTTCGTTACATCTATTTACGTGCAAATATCATTGGGAAAGGTATGAATCCTTCTCTTCCCCCAAGATATGGGTTAAATAGAATTTTGTGTAAAAATAAATCATTGTAATATCCAAATGACTGTTAATGCAGTATTCACTCGCAACAAAAAGGAAATATTCTTACAATCCAAATTTCGGCTTAAAATAAGTCACAACGGGTTGACAAACCGTAAAAAATATAGATCGTTTTTATTCTTCCTGTTCTCTAACTTTTCCAACTTCTTTCCTTTCTCTCTTTCTTAACTTTGACCTCCTCCTTCTCCTCTCTCTCTCTCTCTCTCTCTCTCTCTCTCTCTCTCTCTCTCTCTCTCTTTTCTTCTTTACATTTTTATTTTTTTCTCTTCCTTCTTCTTTTTCTCTTTTCTGGATAACTCGCTCTTCCTTCGCTTTGATTTTCCATATCTCTCTCTCCATTTTCCCTCCTTTCTTCTCTGCTTTCTTCTGTTGTTTGTTTTTATCCTCCCACATGGACATATTCTTTGTCTTCCTCTTTCCTTACTTTCCATCTCTCTTCCTTCTACTCTTCCTTCATTTTAATTTTATCCCCCTTTCCTTCTTTTTTCTCTCACTCTCTTTCTCTTTTTCTTTTTTCCATTTTCTTATCCTCCCCAATTCACTCTTTTCTTTCTTCTTCCTTTTCTCTTCTTTTTTCCAATCTTGCTTCGATTTAATTTGCAAATCTCTTGCCTTTCTTTCTTTCTTTCTTTCTTTCTTTCTTTCTATTTTTATCTTCCCAGACACACTCGTTTTTCCTCCTTTTCCCTTACATTTCCACCTCTCCCCGTTCTTTGCTCTGGCTTCCATTTCTCTCCCCACCCCCGCCCGATTTCTCTTTCTATCTTCCTCTCTCTCTCTCTATATATATATATATATATATATATATATCTACTTGTCTTTTCAGCAATATATTTTTCATCAGATTTATTCAATTTCTACATCCTCCACTAAACATATTTCCACGTCATTAATTCTCTCTGATGATATTTTCCTTGCCATTGTTAACGAAACACACTTAGTCTGGATGTGATTTTTGCTTAACCAGTTGACATTAAATTAGGCCATCAGCTAATGGGCGCTCTTTCTTCTTCTTCTTCTTCGTCTACTGTGGCTTCTTCTTCGGTAAAAAGAAATGTCATCCATTTTACTTGTTGTCGGTTGATGATATCAAAGACGATGGACGTTTTGAGAGACCGAAATTGTTTTTTGACATTTTGGTTTAATCTCGAAAATCGGTTTCCATTGGATTATTTTATTAACAAGTTCTGTAGGTCAATTGAACAAGGGCAGAAAAAAAGAGAAAATATAAACAAATTAGATAGATAGATAGATAGATAGATAGATATGAACAGATTTAGAATGATAGATAGATAGATAGATAGATATGAACAGATTTAGAATGATAGATAGATAGATAGATAGATAGATATGAACAGATTTAGAATGATAGATAGATAGATAGATAGATATGAACAGATTTAGAATGATAGATAGATAGATAGATGAACAGATTTGAACAGATTTAGAATGATAGATAGATAGATATGATAGATTTAGATAGATAGATAGATAGATAGATATGAACAGATTTAGAATGATAGATAGATAGATAGATAGATAGAACAGATTTAGAATGAACAGATGGAGAATGATAGATAGATAGATAGATAGATAGATAGATATGAACAGATTTAGAATGATAGATAGATAGATAGATAGATAGATAGATAGATAGATATGAACAGATTTAGAATGATAGATAGATAGATAGATATGAACAGATTTAGAATGATAGATAGATAGATAGATAGATAGATAGATATGAACAGATTTAGAATGATAGATAGATAGATAGATAGATAGATAGATAGATAGATATGAAGAGATTTAGAATGATAGATAGATAGATAGATATGAACAGATTTAGAATGATGGATAGATAGATAGATAGATAGATAGATGAACAGATTTAAAAGAATGATAGATAGATAGATAGATAGATAGATAGATGGATAGATAGATATGAACAGATTTAGAATGATAGATAGATAGATAGATAGATAGATAGATAGATGACATATGAACAGATTTAGATGGATAGATAGATAGATAGATATGAAAGATAGATATGAACAGATTTAGAGATAGATAGATAGATAGATAGATGTGAACAGAACAGATTTAGATAGATAGATAGATAGATAGATAGATAGATAAATAGATAGAAAATGAATAGATAGATAGATAGATAGATAGATAGATAGATAGATAGAGAGATATGAACAGATTTAGATAATATGAACAGATTTAGATAGATATGAACAGATTTAGATAGATAGATAGATAGATATGAACAGATTTAGATAGATAGATACGAACAGATTTAGATAGATAGATAGGAATAAAGTGTTGCTGTCGAAACTGGAGTTTGATCGCAAACACAGGTGATCCCATTATTCTATTAAGTGGATCATGTGACCATGGGACAAACGCCTAAGTAGGAAGTAGCGTAACGTCTAAACGATCACCATTTCTATTCTATCCTCTATTACTATATGGTTCGCTATTCTCTATACTATACACTATGCTAGTCTATATTCGGATTACTGTACGGATTACAATTTGGTGGTTACTTTTCGAGTGAGTATAATCGAGCAAGTACTATGAGTGCGAGTGTTATTCGAAGGCGTCTGACACCAGTATTGTTCAATTGTTCGTTACTATAGTTGTATCTACGATTACAAAATCTCTACTACACCGAACATTACAAAAGTGACCACAAGTGTTCGTTGACATCACAAAAGTGGCAACGAGTGTTTGGTGATATCACAAAAATAGATATGTAGAGATTTAGATAGATAGATAGATAGATAATTTACATTATTCGGACTACTGTCCTCATCTTTTTTGTCAAAGTTATTACAACGTTTCGGCCGTTGTACGCTCCAGCCTTCTTCAGGTGATTAGATCCAGTGACAGGACCCAAAGAGTGTGAGTTCAATACCCGGTTAAGTCAGTGAAGAACTTGGAGAGGAGAATTAACAGGAGATAACTGAGAACTGACACCCATTAAACATGGCACATGAAACTAGAACAATCTACCCCAGTGAGCGAAATAAAGGGTTCAGTTCGACATCCCAACCACCTGAGGAAGGCCGGAGTGTACAATGGCCGAAACGTTGTAATAAATATGGCGACAAAGATGAGGACAATAGTCCGAATATTGTCAATAGTGTACATAATACCTCATCTCAGAAATATAGAGAGATACTGAAGGGCCGAAACGTTGTAATAAATATGGCAACAAAGATGAGGACAATAGTCCGAATAATGTAAATAGTGTACATAATACCTCATCTCAGAAATATAGACAGATACTGAAAGGCCGAAACGTTGTAATAAATATGGCAACAAAGATGAGGACAATAGTCCGAATAATGTAAATAGTGTACATAATGCCTCATCTCAGAAATATAGACATATACATATAGATAATGAACACAGATAGATAGATAGATAGATAGATAGATAGATAGATAGATATGCACAGGTGATCACTCACAAAAATTATCGTTTTTCTCACTTGACATTCGCACAACGGAAAAGTCGGCGACATTTCTTCCCTTCTCGAGGCATTTTCCATTTTGAATGGGCCGCGATCATTCGTGTAACACTTTTCCGCCAATTCCTCGCTACGCCTCATTAAAAAATATATAACGATTAAAGACTTTCAGTATTGCATTATTGCACATCATCCATGTGCAAGAAAGATCACTTGCGAAGTCAATCACTTGAGAAAAGAATTGAAGTCATAAACCAACCATCAAATGATTTTCAGTTATAAGTCAGTCTGTATGTTTGCTTCATTAGTGAATACCAACTCATCTATTTTCTGTTCACTGTTTCTAAGTTTCATTCTTCCAGATGTTATAAAATCAATACTTTTGATAAAGTTTCCCGCTTTCCTGATAGATAGTACATTGGAAAGAAAGTCGCGACGATTTTTTAAGATGATCACTTTTTTGTAGTTTTTGTCATACGGCAAAATAAACATGAATTTTCAGATTCTAATTTTTAGTTCTTTACTTAATATCAGAGGTGGGGGAAATTTTGAATCGATTTTAAACTTTTCAAATGAGTTTAGATAAAGACTGGGTTCTGTAGATAATATAACGGTTATTGGTCCAGATAGATAGATAGATAGATAGATAGATAGATAGATAGATAGATAGATCTGTGGGTAGTGTAACGGCTATCCGCACAGAAAGTAAATTCGATCTTCCAAGTTCAATTTACTTTGCGCTAATGCACTTGAAAAAGGACTGAATCCAACTTCCCCCAGCTATAGATTAAATAACTGGGCAAACTAAATTCTCTTGCATTGAGGTGGCAAACAGTCTAGAAGGAAAATTTCGAATTCAAAACCAACCTGAAGAGGGGATTGGTTGCGTCTTGCTATAGACCAGTGTTTCTCTATCTTTTTTACCCATGTGGAATTCTTGAATTATTTTTCATATCTCCAGGAATTCCTACATATAAAATTATTATATACCATTATTAATATCCATCTCTTTTATATTTTTATCGTAATTCAGGTGGTAAACATAATATATGGACACCGTGTATACATTCTTTACTCGAGTGAGTCACTCAATGATACACGAATTTGTCACGTACAAGTTTTGTCCATTGACCAGTGAAGGCGGATTCATACTGTCGCCATAGAGACAATACTAAATACATTCCCTACGGTCATTATAATTTTAAATAACATAAGAGTTTCAAGACTTTATTGTAATAAGTAACAAAATAACGTACGTGTGGAGTAAAATTAACAAATATAAAATTGTTGTGGAGTATTTTCACAGTGGAGGCTTGGATTTCTAATAAGTCGTACAAAACGTTAGGAACTTGGAAAAATAATAGTCAATGACGCAGCAAATCTAGTTGTGATGGTTGGTACTTCAAATGTCCGAATCTCGACTGATGCGCTCAACACCGTTCAGTATTTACCGTTCCACCCACGAGGACCGAATATGGCACAAGGCCGGTTTTAATGTGGGTTTCTCCGAGCCCGTAGGCTCGGCCAAAAAAATAGCGATTGAAGCCGATTAGACGGGTTCAGGCCCTGTCTACCTCCCCTTAGAAACCTTGCCCTTCGGCAAAGCCTCGTCCGGGTTCCTCTCTGCTAATGCAGAGAGTTCGACAGAAGGTGTGCGTACTCAGAGACCGCTCAACACCGCTGCCAGACTTGCCACTGCTACTCCTACTTATTATCTATGGGAGAGTCCATTACCAAAGAATAGGTACTATGGCACAACATCCCCCCTCCTAAAAATTTACTCCGCAGGAGTAAAAAGTTTTATTTATTTTTCAAAAAACAAAAAAGAAAAAAAAATTTTTTTTTAACAACATCGTAGCGTATTTCCTACGTTTTTTGATCCACTTTTAAATGATCAGTTGCCTTTTTTTTTTCTTCTGGATCGGCGTACCTTAGGTAAAATTATTAGCAGGGGTTTGTTAAATCAAACTTATTGAAAATCACCTCCATTGGAGTTTTTTCAACCACGTCTGAAAAACGTCGTCTGATCTGTTTACTGCACGTGAGTTTTACCCCTTTCACCAAGTATGTCATGTAGCCAATCCGCTTTTTATTATTATTATTTTTTTTATATATATTTTCAAAGCGTTACCAGAAACAACCTTCCGCTTTGAACTTCTTAAAGTTGGACTCAGTTTCTGTAGATTCTTGTTGACTTAAATCATTTAATTAATACTGCATGTCCTTGGTTGCGTGTAACGTGTTCCTCAGTTGTTTTTTTTCGGTGTCGACTTCATTTTTACTTTCTGAAGCTTGTTTTTCACGCATATTGACGGTGTTAGCCATTCCACTTTTTTAAATAAACCCGTTTTTTCTAATCTGTCCAATTGAAGCAAACAGCAAATTCCTTTTCTTTTTGAATACCGCCTGAGCGTTTTGTTTTGGCTGTAATTTTGCCTCAATCTTGGTACACGTTCCCAAACCTGGAGAAAAAACAGTAGGAAAAGTTCTCTTTAGTTTCCTAACTAATTTTTTAGCTTCGTAGTTTAAATTTTCAACCTTGTAACAGAAAGAATTTATTGGTAAATCCCATAATTGAAATTCTGTTATCCAATCCGTACCAAGTAAGTTCGTGGTATTTTTCATGACAAATAGTTTAGCTTTTCGCGTTTTTTTATTTAACGTGACGTTTGTAATAAATTCTCCAATAAATTGTATTTTTTCTCCTGTCACGGACCTCGCGACTTTATTTGTCTTCATTAAAATTGGTTTCCCCCAACTTCGTCCACGTATTCAACTTTATGATAGATAGGTCGGAACCAGTGTCGAGTTGCATTTTTATTTTTTTTATTACATATTTCGACGGTAACAAATTTTCTGGTTATTCCGTCGTTCACTTCGTCGGACTTTAATTTTCTTATTTTTTGTTTTTTTTTTTGACCTGCAGTACGAGCTTTTATGACCCACTCTTTCACAGTTGAAACATTTTTATTCCTAAAATTGCAATATCTATACCAGTGAAGTTCACCGCAAGCAAAACATGGCTTCGGGAGTTTTTGTTTATTTTTTTTCTGGTATTTCACTTTTTGTTTGATAATCCGCAATTTTAGAATTCTTTTTGGTAGACTGACTTTCTTTTTTGTAGCGTATTTTCCTTACATGCGAAACGCCAGACTGTTCTATCTTTTTCGAGTCTTTCTTTACGCTAACATATCTTGTGCAGTCTTCTGCCAAACTCAGAACCGAAAATTTCGGTTCTTTTTCCAATTTTGAAAGTACCAATTTCCTCAATTCTGCGTCTCTTTCTGAAACTAAACCCTGGACAAATATCAAACACTTGAAATTGTCAGAGCTTAATTCTGCTAGTTTGAATTCTTCATAATGCTTGTTCACATTAGCTGCATACGTTATGAAGTCTTGTTCATCCTCTTTCATCAGATTCAAACATTTCCACCTTTTGTGAAACAAAGATGTCTTTTTACTAAATAATTCACTTAATATATTTACCGCCTCGGTAAAAGTTAACTCGTTAGTTTTTTTCGGTAAACTGTCGTTTACCAATTTATTATGCTCAGCAGTTCCTAACTTGCTTTAAAGAAGTCTAACCTTCTTTCCTTCAGACCACGTGTGGCAGTCCTCGTTATACACGTCTGTATATTTTTTAAAATACTCTTCAAAAGTTATTTCTTCGTCTGGACTGTACGTGAATATTTCAATTGAATTCCATATTGTATTCTCTGGGAAAGAATCATTTCGTAGATTTTCCTCTTTCCTCTTCTCAGTTATTTCCAGAATTTTGTTTTGAAACTCCTTATGCATCAGTTCCATTTCTCGTTGAAACTGAATCTGTCTATTAAAGGTTTCCTCCTGAAGTTGTATCTGGAATGTTTTCTGTAGGTCCAGTATTGTCTTTTGTTGTTCCGTCTGAAACTTAAAAAATTCCTGGAATATATTTTTGCATTCCTCCATCTTCGCAAAAAGTTTACACAATACTTAAATATTGTACAGGGGGTCCAAAACGAATTTGTAATTCGTGACCTATTTGAGCAAACTGTCTTATCGAGAAAAAATAAAATTCTTTTCTCAGTTGAGAATACGACGGATTTTTCCGTCACTAAGTTGACGTTTTGTCTTTCAAAAAAACTTTTGCAAAGTTTTTTTTTTTTTTTTATATATATATATATAATATATATATTGTTGTCGAAAAAAATTTGACGAGCAAATTTTTTTTTTCCGTGTGAAATACGAATTTCGTCACTAAATAACGTGAGCGAATTTTATTTTATTTTTCCAAAATATGAAACGCAATCCCACGTACGCTACGTGTATTATGGCGGGTGAGTTTTTTTTTGTTTTTTTTTTTTTGTTTTTTGAACTTGTAGACCAGACCAATGATGAAGACGAACGAATTGAAATATTTAACAGAATCATAATAAATATATAATTCCTATTCAATGATGGAATCTGGAATCTACTTCAATGTTTTATAACCTGAACCGTCAGTGACCCAACGAGTCACGGGTAGTTTAGTATTATTTAAAACTAACAGTAGAGCCCGGCATTGCCCGGGGACAGTAACAGTAAGAGATAGATCAAGTATCGACCATCATAAAGACTGAAAATAAAATTGACAAAGAACGAAAAAAAAGGTTGACGGACAAATGTTTTAATTAGTTTTGTTGTTTTTTTTTTTTACGAATTGGTCAAAACTTAACCTTTTGAAAAACGGGTTCAGGAAATCCTACCTCGTCGGAGAATGTTGTCGGCAATTTTCACAGGGTTCCTTTTTTTTTAATAAGTCGTGCAAGTCAAAGACCGCTCAAACTTGGAAATTTAATATTTCACCCACGGAAACGAATATGGCACAAGGCCGGTTTTATTGTGGGTTTCCCGAGCCCGTAGGCTCGGCAAAAAAATAGCCTTTTGAAGCCGATTAGACGGGTTCAGGCCCTGTCTACCTCCCGGACGAAACCTTGCCCTTCGGCAAAGCCTCGTTTGGGTTCCCTCTGCTAATGCAGAGAGTTCGACAGAAGGCGTGCGCAGTCAGAGACCGCTCAACACCGTTCGGTATTTATCATTTCACCCACGGAAAAGAATATGGCACAAGGCCGGTTTTATTGTGGGTTTCTCCCGAGCCCGTAGGCTCGGAATAAAAAAAAATAGCCTTTTGAAGCCGATTAAACGGGTTCAGGCCCTGTCTACCTCCCGGACGAAACCTTGCCCTTCGGCAAAGCCTCGTCCGGGTTCCTCTGCTAACGCAGAGAGTTCGACAGGAGGCGTGCGCAGTCAGAGACCGCGAAACGCCGTTCGGTATTTATCGTTTCACCCACGGAAAAGACCGAATGGCACAAGGCCGGTTTTTATGTGGGTTTCCCCGAGCCCGTAGGCTCGGCCAAAAAAATAGCCTTTTGAAGCCGATTAAACGGGTTCAGGCCCTGTCTACCTCCCCGGACGAAACCTTGCCCTTCGGCAAAGCCTCGTCCGGGTTCCTCTCTGCTAATGCAGAGAGTTCGACAGGAGGCGTGCGCAGTCAGAGACCGCGAGACGCCGTTCGGTATTTATCTTTTCACCCACGGAAAAGAATATGGCACAAGGCCGGTTTTTATGTGGGTTTCCCCGAGCCCGTAGGCTCGGCCAAAAAAAATAGCCTTTTGAAGCCGATTAAACGGGTTCAGGCCCTGCCTACCTCCCCGGACGAAACCCTGCCCCTCGGCAAAGCCTCGTCGGGTTCCTCTCTGCTAACGCAGAGAGTTCGACAGGAGGCGTGCGCAGTCAGAGACCGCGAGACGCCGTTCGGTATTTATCTTTTCACCCACGGAAAAGAATATGGCACAAGGCCGGTTTTTATGTGGGTTTCCCCGAGCCCGTAGGCTCGGCCAAAAAAATAGCCTTTTGAAGCCGATTAAACGGGTTCAGGCCCTGTCTACCTCCCCGGACGAAACTTTGCCCTTCGGCAAAGACTCGTCTGGGTTCCTCTCTGCTAATGCAGAGAGTTCGACAGGAGGCGTCCGCAGTCAGAGACCGCGAGGCACCGTTCGGTATTTATCCACCCACGGAAAAGAATATGGCACAAGGCCGGTTTTTATGTGTTTCCCCGAGCCCGTAGGCTCGGCCAAAAAAATTTTTGAAGCCGATTAAACGGGTTCCTTGCCCACCTCCCGGATTATCAAAGCCTCGTCGGGTTCCTCTCTGCTAACGCAGAGAGTTACTAGGGGAGAGTCCATTACCAAAGAATAGGTACTGCCTTTGCCACAACAAAATGAATGGGAGAAAAAAATCACTAAAATGGTTCGAAAAAAAAAAAAATCACTAAAATGGTAGAAAAAATCTGTGAAAGTTAGAGAAATCTGTGAATCATGCTTACCCTAGAACAATGTTTTTCAAACTTATTAGCCTTGTGGAATTCTTGAATTAGTTTTCATGCCTCAGGACTTGTCCACTGACCAGTGAAGCGGTTTCATACTGTCGCCATAGAAACATCGCTAAATACATTCTCTATGATGATTATAATCTTACTTATTATAAAACGCAGATTTTTTTGTGTGTGTGTGTGTGTGTGTGTGTGTGTGTGTGTGTTGGATCGGATTTCCTACATTTTTCAACTGATTTCAAAAAAACTTCACAGGACTGCGTAAAATTACCTTGCGGTGGTTCTGACAGCGCCAAAAATTGGAAAAACACAATTGTTTTTGCACGAAATCAATTTGAAAACACGATTAAGAGGCATCGCGAGAATGAAAGAGGGACAACTCATATCGAGTTATACTTATTATAATACCCAGGTTGTTTGTGTGTGTGTGTTCGTTTATATATGGGATCGGATTTCCTACATTTTTCAACCGATTTCAACAAAACTTCACTTTTTTTTTGGCAGGTAGTGTTTCTTATTGTCTTGCAAACTTTTTTCTTTATTTTTACATTCAGAATGCTTTAAAAATTCCATTTACAAGACAATTGTTTATAACTCGCGTTTTTAAATCTTATTCACTTAAATATTTTTTAAAATCAAATTAACTTAAAAATATTTTTAAAATATTGTTTGTTTAAAGAAAGCTGAAATATAAATTATTACTCTGCAAACAAATGGACAAAACAGCAAAGCAGGATCTCTTTGTGCGTGTCTTTTTGAAGAAATTTAAAATAAAAATACATACTATATATACAACTTGTAAATCATTATGCGCCGGACGGGACACACAACAGTAGCACGCACACAATCACAGATTTTTAGTATTATATAGATAGATAATAGATTGACGCCTATATTATAATAACAAATGTTTTTCCAACAACATGCCGTACGTGTGTAGTAAAATTACGAGTATAAAATTAAACAAAAATTACTCAAAAATACATGAGCCGATTTATCACTGTTTAACAACATCTTATGGAGCCCTAGAGTTCTACAATACACCAGTTGAGAAAAACTGCTTTAGACACATCGCACCTACTATGGTAGCCATATATGTGATGACCCTACGACCCTAATGGGTTACTAGACAATTAGATATATATTAACTTAGATAGATAGATAGATAGATATGAACAGACTCATATAGATAGATAGATAGATAGATAGATACTGGACACGTGACATAATTCTATGTTCGATCCAACCGAAATAAGACACTGAATACTTTATGAATTTCAAAAGGTAAAACTTGCTGATAATTTTACTATAAATTACCATTGTTGGTTATTTTTTTTATATAAAAATGTATTGCTGTTAATTTTACTATAAAATGCATTTTTATGCTTTCATAGTGTTTTTTTTTGGGGGGGTCACTATTTGCTCATAGCTGGAACTCTAACTAGTGCTACCACCCGGGGTCAGGGTGAACCTGGGAACAACAGTAATTAAGACGTGGGTGTAGACTATCATCATACCCAGGACTGCCTGATTTGAGACGTAATGTGACGTTAGATCCTACCTAGATCAGACATGCGGAAAGAAATATTCGTTCTGTTTATGAAATTTTAACTTTAAGTGTTCTGATGTGCCAACAATGATTTGACCAGTTTTCATTGGGAAATATTTCTCTCGGAGATTCATTTATTTTTAGAGGGAAACAGTTGATCTTATGTGATAGAATGCAAAAGAAAATATTGTTCTAGTCGCTCAGAGTAAGATTACGTTACTAAATAATATAATTTTTGCTTCATCCTTCTTACGCTCCTGCTATTGCTCCCTCTGAATGTCAGACCATTGTCTTAAACCACTGTATTTTTTATAGGGAAAAACAATTTAGACCATTGTATTAGACCACTGTATTTTTTATAAGGGAAAACAATTTAGACCATTGTATTTTTAGACCGTTGTATTTTTCATGGGGAAAACAATTTATTATTTGTGTAGAGGTAAGTGAATGTAACGAACCCAAATCAAATACTTTTCTAATTAATTCACACCAAGCAAGGCAATAAAGCGAATAAGATGTAAGGGGGTTACTGAGTATTAGAGAAAAAGAAGACATTATTAAGGAGAGAGAACAATAAGAGAAAGATAGACGATAACGATTGACATTGCATTTACATTTATGAAGATCAAAGTTGACTTGCAAGCAAGAAGCCGGAAACAAGAAATGCAAGATAAGAAACTGTTCCATAAACAAGAAATGTGAGATAAGAAACTGTTAGCGTAGAATTTCTGGTTACATCTAGTAAATTCAGCTGTAAAATGATTAGAACATGCCTCCAGTCTAGTAGTACGCTTAAATTCATATAGTCTAGGTACCAAAGAGGAAAGCTTATCAGAATAACAATTACCATGAAAATATTTATAGAAAAGGCACAGGGAAGCTGTGTTACGGAGTTTGGAAAGTGAGGTACAGAAATATGAAGAAGATCGTCAGTTTCACGCTTCAATCGATCATCAGACCAAGTGTCTATTCCTGATACTGAAATTAATATAGTATATTTTAAACAATATATACGTGTGGGTGTAGCTATCTATATAGCTAAATAGTAAAGGTAAATATATATAAACAAATTGAGATCGATAGATAGATAGATAGATAGATAGATAGATCGCATTGAAACATGAACTTGACAGTCAATATGCAGTCTATAGCTATAAACGCTCCATCTCCGATATTGAGCGCACTTCTATATTCTATAGATAGATAGATAGATAGATAGAAAGATATCATCTTACTTATATATATATATATATATATATATAGAGAGAGAGAGAGAGAAAGAGAAAGAGAGAATGGTAAAAGTGTGGTAGAGAGAAAGAGACTGTGATTGAGAAAGGAATGATATGGGCATGTATGCGAGGTATATGTATATTTCAAGTATTTATCGTGACAAGATCTTTCATTGCAGTCTACATCTATATTGATATACTAGCAGTAAAGTCCGGCGTTGCCCGGGAGTAGACTTCCTCTGAATGGAATGTCATAACCGCCATACTCATTTTGTACACGCATGTAAGGCTGAAGTCCAGTAGAACTGATGGCCGCCCACGTAAAAAACGTAATGTATACACGTTGTCGGCATTCACCAGCACAATGGAAGAAAAAATTTTAAGGTTTAAAAGGAAGCAATGGACAGCCATGGTAGCATCAGCCATTTGCCATTACTAAGACAGCTCCAATTAAAAGTTGTCAAGTTCAATACGAACACGGGCCTTAGGAAGTTTTTAGTGAGTTGTGGCAGATGGCTTTGTATTCCGATGAGATGGTTTTATTATCCCTGAGTGCAAAACATTACATGAAACCCTGTGTCAGTTGCAACGTAATAGCGTGAAAGGTAGACGCGTCTTTTGCCCAAAAGACGGCGCTGCCACTACTGCAAACAGAACCACATAACAGAAATATGGGAAGGTGCCGGGGCAAGTACTTGTAAGTGGCACAAATTTTTTGTAGTTTATAATAGCCAGTTTGAGCGTTACCTAAAGCAGCCCTTATGGTAAGGGGAGAAACACACCAACGGTGTACGGCAGAGAATGCAGATTATAACTCTGCATGCTGCTATTCTTTTATTATTCCACTTCTTTTAGCTGAGGCCTGAATTGCGTGGACGCACTCGACTTCTCTGACAAGTAAACAAATCCACCTTCCCACGTATTGGTTTTGTGTTGCAACTGAATATGGTTACGTGGTCGACATGTAAGTGCGAATGCAGCTATGGTGGGGTTTAAGTGATAAGGCATCATATGGTGAGCAAGACAACCTTTAATGAAATGTCTTAGTAATGGCAAGTGGATAGTACGACGACCTTTAAATAAACCGGGTTCAAAAATGAAGGAACCTCCGATGCAGCTGATATAAAGATGTGTACATTGCATTTAAACGTGAGCGACCATGGGCTATAGAACTTCTGCGTAGGTAATATTTTTAGCTTTGTTTTATCCTTACTACCGACTCGGGAGCAGCCTAGGTAAAGCTGTCCATAGGCGAAACACCGTTCACCTAAATGCAGACCCGCGACGTTGGACGTTTGTCCTTGCGATTTGGCCATTGTTGTTGACCCGTGCTCTCCGTGTCCAAGGGCTTTCTGAAGCTCTGGCAGACGCAGTAGGTCTGGAATTTCTCAAACGACGATTTGCGGTCTGCACAGGACTTTCTAAAGTTCTGGCAGACGCAGTAGCGCTGGCATTTCTTAAACGACGAATAATGGTTTGTTGAGGTTGTTCCGAAACCCTGGAAGATGCTGTAGCCCTAGCATTCTTAAGGCGACGCGAAGTGGTTTGTTCAGGGCTTCCTAAAGCTCTAGAAGATGCTGTAGTGCTGGCATTCCTTAAACGCCGAAGGATTATCTGTGTTGGGGACTCGGAAGCCCTGGCCCTAGAAACGCGCATTGCATCCTGTGAATTCTGTACTAAACGCTCTTCAGTTGAAAGTCTAGCGCATCGTGATGACATAACTGATGCTACTGATGCCAGCCTTTCAGTTCTTTCAGCGGTACTTTCCATGGGGATGCGAGCCACAGAGTGTGAGGCCATCAGAGAAATGCGCAACGAAGTTTGCTCTGTGGTTTCACTTGCCCTTGCTGCTCTTGTAGCGGAGGCAGCAGTCGTGCGCCGCCCAAAAAGTTTTCTTTTCTTAGGCAGCATTTTAACCAATTTTAAAAAGGCAAACGTTATAAAAGTTATGTAGGTTTTTTGAGTGCAAAAAATACGTGTAGTCTAAACATAGGCAGGTTAGAGGGATCCCAAAAATGTATGTAACTGTATCAAAAGGGGATCGAAGACAAAAAAGTGAAGTTTAAAAAATTCAACTAAAGCTAAAACGGTGGTAGGTAATTTAGGAAGTAAATTCGATAAACGCGGAAACGGATGTAGTTATAACTAAGAAGTCAAAAAAACAGTTTGGATACGTAATCAACAACTTGCGGTTTCCGTAAGAAGCGAAGGAAGTTAGCCAAGTGCGTGACAGTAATCGCCGAAGTGTGAACACGCCTGCGACTTATGATATAAAGAGTCGGTTGGCCGGTTGACCTTGAGCGCACATAATAAGGTGGGGTACGTACGCACGTGCACACGCGTGCGTAAGAGAACTGCTCGCGCGTATGATTGGACGGGCTCAAGGTTAAACGCTTGCAGCCGTGCCAATGATCTTGCAGCATCCTTGAACAGTTGACGCGATTGGTTAACCTCCAGCTGGGTTAGTCAAAGCAGTGCACAGTGGCGGATGACGTTTCAAAATAGTATCTGGCGACTTTATTGTATCGGGTTTTTTATTGATAAATATGAAAGCTATGTAGTTTCTTATCCCAAAATAGACATGCCTTTTTTTTTTACGTCGTCACCGATGTAGCGCAGTCTCTCAAAGTCAGCCAATCAGAAAATGGGATTTTCTAGCTCCATTTTTCTTTGAAAATTTTGAGCAGCTAAGAGATATGAGGTAGTTTTATTGGTCAAAAGTTGAAAATACAAGCGTTTTTACACTTCTTACGAACAAAATTTGAAACAATGTTAATTTCGTTTACTGATGGATGATGAAGGCATTTAAGTAGCACAAATTTAAATGAAAACGTGTGAGAACTTTTGGGGCAGCGATGCTCAGTAGTAAAATTATAGCGAGTAGGTGCCTTTTGCTACATGTAAACGGCATGAAAAGACATAACAGTCCCCCGGTGTCCCCTCGAATGAAAAAATGCCATCAAATGTGAAAAAATGGACAAATTGGACGAAATGGCTAGATGTAACCGTAAGTTCTATGCTAACAGTTTCTTCGTTCACGGTATTACATCCACGGCCTTATAGATTGGCGGCAAGGTCTCATCATTTTACAGTTGAAACATTAAATGATCCTTTTCATTAAAAGTTCTGATATGAGTGTTAAATCCTTCTCTCTCACGGTGAAACATCTAACCCATTTATAGATTGATGGCAAGGTCTCATCATTTTACAGTTGAAATGGCTAGATGTAACCGTAAGTTCTATGCTAACAGTTTCTTCTCTCACGGTATTACATTATTACAAACGGTCAATATTTTGACAGGTCTCATCATTTACAGTTGAAATGGCTAGATGTAAAGGTTTCTATGCTAACAGTTTCTCTCACGGTATTACATCCACATAGATTGGCGGCAAGGTCTCATCATTTTACAGTTGAAATGGCTTGATGTAACCGTAAGTTCTATCTAACTTTTTCATTTACAGTTAATCCACGGCCTTTAGATTGGCGGCAAGGTCTCATCATTTTACAGTTGAAATGGCTAGATGTAACCGTAAGTTCTATGCTAACAGTTTTTTCTCTCATAAGTATTCACATCCACGGCCTTATAGAAAATGCAAGGTCTCATCATTTTACATTTGAAATGGCTAGATGTAAATCAAGTTTTAACAGTTTCTTCTCTCTCACAAAATTACATCCACGGATGATTGGCGGCAAGGTCTCATCATTTTACAGTTGAAATGGTTAGATTAACCGTAAGTTCTATCTAATTTTTCTTGAAATGGTTGGTGACAAGGTATTCATCCACGGCCTTATAGATTGGTGGCAAGGTCTCATCATTTTACAGTTGAAATGGCTAGATGTAACCGTAAGTTCTATTTAACAGTTTCTTCTCTCTCACGGTATTACATCCACGGCCTTATAGATTGGCGGCAAGGTCTCATCATTTTTACAGTTGAAATGGTTAGATGTAACCGTAAGTTCTATTTAATGTTTTCTTCTCTCTCACGGTATTACATCCACGGCCTTATAGATTGGCGGCAAGGTCTCATCATTTTACAGTTGAAATGGCTAGATGTAACCGTAAGTTCTATGCTAACAGTTTCTTCTCTCTCACGGTATTACATCCACGGCCTTGAAATAGATTGGCGGCAAGGTTTCTCATCATTTTAACAGTTGAAATGGTTGGCTAGACAAGGTAACCGTAAGTTCTATGCTAACAGTTTCTTCTCTCTCATTTTATTACATCCACGGCCTTATAGATTGGCGGCAAGGTCTCATCATTTTACAGTTGAAATGGCTAGATGTAACCGTAAGTTCTATGCTAACAGTTTCTTCTCTCTCACGGTATTACATCCACGGCCTTATAGATTGGCGGCAAGGTCTCATCATTTTACAGTTGAAATGGCTTTAGATGTAACCGTAAGTTCTATGCTAACAGTTTCTTCTCTCTCACGGTATTACATCCACGGCCTTATAGATTGGCGGCAAGGTCTCATCATTTTACAGTTGAAATGGCTAGATGTAACCGTAAGTTCTATGCTAACAGTTTCTTCTCTCTCACGGTATTACATCCACGGCCTTATAGATTGGCGGCAAGGTCTCATCATTTTACAGTTGAAATGGCTAGATGTAACTCATTTTTTAAGTTCTATGTTAAAAGTTTCTTCTCTTCACTTTATTACATCCACGGCCTTATAGATTGGCGGCAAGGTCTCATCATTTTACAGTTGAAATGGCTAGATCTAACGTAAGTTCTATGCTAACACAAGTTTTTTCTTTTACAGGCCTTATAAATGGCAATACATCCAGTTGCCTTATAGATTGGTGGCAAGGTCTTTCATCATTTTACAGTTGAAATGGCTAGATTTAACCGTAAGTTCTGGCAAGGTCTCATCATTTTACAGTTTCTCTCTAAGTTCTATGTAACATTACATCCACGGCCTTATAGATTGCATCAAAGGTCTCATCATTTTACAGTTGAAATGGCTAGATGTAACCGTAAGTTCTATGCTTTCAGTTTCTTCTTTCACGGTTTAAATAATTTAGATTCTAAGGTCTCATCATTTTCAGTTGAAATGGTATGTAACATAAGTTCTATGCTAACAGTTTCTTTTATGAATTTACATGCAGTATAGATTGGTGGCAAGGTCTCATCATTTTACAGTTGAAATGGCTAGATGTAACCGTAAGTTCTATGCTAACAGTTTCTTCTCTCTCACGGTATTAACATCCATTTTATAGATTCGGAAAGGTCTCATCAGACAGTTCTCATCATTTTACCATAAAAATGCTTTCCTTTGCCTTTCCTTTAAATAATGAAATATTCTAATCATTTTCAGTTTTTCTATAAGGTACATAGACTTTATGAATTTAACGGCAGTACTAGATTGGTGGCAAGGTCTCATCATTTTACAGTTGAAATGGCTAGATGTAACCGTAAGTTCTATGCTAACAGTTTTTTCTCTCTCATAAGATCATCCACGGCCTTATTAGCATCTGGCTTCAAGGTCTCTTTCATTACCAGTTGAAATAATGTAGCTTTCTTTGCTAACATTTTTCCTTTAAATAATTTCATTCTAATTCTTCTTTTCATTTTTTATGGTTGGCTACATAGACTTTTTGAATTTAAGTGCAGTACTAGATTGGTGGCAAGGTCTCAGGTCTCATCATTTTACAGTTGAAATGGCTAGATGTAACCGTAAGTTCTATGCTAACAGTTTCTCTCACGGTATCATAAGATTCACTATATTGGCATCAAGGTCTCATCATTTTCAGTTGAAACTTTCCTACCACCATAATGTAGCTTTCCTTTGCCTTTTACTTTAAATAATTTCATGATTAATTCTTCATTTTCACAGTTGAAATATATAGACTTTATGAATTTAAGTGCAGTACTAGATTGGTGGCAAGGTCTCATCATTTTACAGTTGAAATGGCTAGATGTAACCGTAAGTTCTATGCTAACAGTTTCAGTTTTCTCTCACGGTATTACATCCACGGCCTTATAGATTGGCGGCAAGGTCTCATCATTTTCCTACCACCATAATGTAAGCTTTTCTTTGCCTTTCCTTTAAATAATTTCATTGCTAATTCTTCTTTTCACAGTTGAAATATGTAACCTAAGTTCTATGCTATAGACTTTTATGAATTTTCCACGGCAGTACTAGATTGGTGGCAAGGTCTCATCATTTTACAGTTGAAATGGCTAGATGTAACCGTAAGTTCTATGCTAACAGTTTTCTTCTCTCTCATCATATTACATCCTGAAATAGATTGGCTTCAAGGTCTCATCATTTAACAGTTGAAATGGCTAGATAAATTTTTAAAAATTCTTTTTCAGTTCTTTTCTTTTCTCTCTCACATAGACTTTATGAATTTAAGTGCAGTTTATAGATTGGTGGCAAGGTCTCATCATTTTACAGTTGAAATGGCTAGATGTAACCGTAAAGTTCTATCATTTAACAGTTTCTTCTCTCTCACAATTATTACATCCACGGCCTTATAGATTGGCGGCAAGGTCTCATCATTTTACAGTTGAAATGGCTAGATGTAACCGTAAGTTCTCATTTTTCTAATTTTTTTTTCTCTTTAGATTGGACATAGACATTTTGAATTTAAGTATTGTACTAGATTGGTGGCAAGGTCTCATCATTTTACAGTTGAAATGGCTAGATGTAACCGTAAGTTCTATGTTAACAGTTTTTTCTCTCTTCATAAGATTCTCTTATTATCCACGGCCTTATAGATTCGGCTTCAGTCCTTTCCTTTTTAATTAGCTTTCCTTTGCCTTTCCTTTAAATAATTAAGTTCTAATAACAGTTTTTCACTATCTCACATAGACTTTTATGAATTTAAGTGCAGTACTAGATTGGTGGCAAGGTCTCATCATTTTTACAGTTGAAATGGCTAGATGTAACCGTAAGTTCTATGC